GAGATCTCAGCCATTTCTTTCATATATTTTTGTGCTCATTGCTGTGATTTGTGCCTTTGTGAATCAAGATATCTCTACCACTTTTATGGGATGGCCTTGGTTAGCAGCTTCCTCCTAACGCTGTGTCTTTGGTTGTTGCTGTTTTGCAGGGTTGGTTTGGGTGGGCACTGTAATGTGCTTCCGTGGCTGTGGGCACAGGGCTTATCATGTCAGCAGGGAGACCCACCACGTCTGAAGACACAAAATGTAGGGATACTCCAGAAGTTCAGGCAGGTTTGGTGTGGACGGCAGAGTGTGAGGCATGCTCCCCGTGTGGAACTCCCGCAGTGGACCGTGGCCCCTGTGGGTTGATGGGTCTTCAGACACTGTTGATGTTGGCTCGCCCCATAATAGTGCAGGTCTGAAGCTCTTGCCCTCTGACTGGGCTATAGCATGGGTCTAGGGGCTTCGTGGGGAGAAGTGGTGGCAGGAAGTGTGGCAGCACTCCCCCCGCCCCTGTTTTGCTCACACCCAGTCCTGATGGCAGTGGGTAGTCAGACAAGCTGCAGCAATAGGAACTGGGCCAGCGTGGTGGGTGCAGGAGCTGTGATGTTCCTCTCTGCTGCTCCCGAGGGCATGCCTGCCCAGAAGCAGGACCTCAAACTCCCTGTTGCAGTATACACCTGGGAATGAGCCGTGGGGAGGGCTCTTCTCCCAGCTCTTCCAGCTGTAGGTGCTGTGAGCACCCAAGGGCTGGATGACGACCAGGGCTTTTCACCTTCTAGTTCTTCCAGTGGAAATCCCGGCTGGAGCAAGCAAGAGTGGGCACAGCTGGCACCAGGCAGACTTGCTCTCCAGACCTCCTTGGGGGATGCACCACTGCAGCTGAACAACAGCTGGAACCACAGACCTCTTTCCCCGCCCTGTTAGTGTCCAGCGCCTGTGCGGGCACTGGGGTTGGGGGACTGCCTGGCACTGCCTTCAGTTCTGGTCCCAGCGTAATCTGCAGGCTGCGAGCCTTGGTGGGGGGACTTCCCCAGAGCTGGGATTGCTAGCACCCTACGGGTCCAGCTCTCTGGGACTCCACTGTCCCCCTGCGGAGGGGAGGTCCTCGCTCCCAGCTGTGGAGCCAGCCCCACTTGTGCTGGGACGTCTGTTTCTTACTGTGCTGCCGTCCCAGGTCTTCGAGTCGATAAGCTTCTGTTTTTCTCCTGTGGGTTTCCAGTGTTCTCCCAGGGTACACACAGCCATCTTGAAATCTCATGGTGTTTGTTTAGTATGTTCACAGAGCAGCACCACCATCACACTGTCCTTTCCAGAACATTTCCATCACCCATAAAAGAAAACCTGTGCTCGTCACTGCATTAGCCCTTCCCCCTGAAACTGATCTGGCTCCCCAGATGTGCCTGTGGTTTGTATTTAATATGAACGGACTCACAGAATAGGTAGGCTTGTGTATCTGGCTCTTCCACCGAACATAAGGTATTCAGAGTTCATCCATGTTGTGGCATGTGTCTATCCTCCATTCCTTTTTATGGCTAAACAATATTCCATTGTACAAATAAGCCTCCTTTTGTCTAAGTATTCTTCAGTTGATGGACATCCAAGTTGTTTCTGCTTTGGGGCTCTTATGAATAATGTAGTTTTGAACATTCATGTACATATTTTTGTCTGAACATGTTTTCCAAATTCTTGGGTATGTATATACATGTAGAAATGAAATTTCTGGGTCATATGATAATTGCTTCACTTTTTGGAAGAACTGCGAAATCATTTGCCAAAATGGCTGTGCCATCTTACGTTCCCACCTGGGGTGCGGGAGGTTCTGGTTTCTCCACATTCTCACCAGAACTAGTTATGTTATCATCTTTTTTTATTATAGCAATCCTGGTGGACGGGAGGTGGTCCCACACTCTGTATTTGATTGCGTTTCTCTAATGACCTGGAGTATCTTTTTGTGTCACATTTTATAATGTTACTTTTTTAAAAAGAAAAGGTGTTGTAATTAATTTTTCAGAATTTAACCAAAGAATCCAAGTGTGTGTGGGGTTTTAGGAACCTGTGAGCCAGAACAAAAGCCTCTGGTTCTCCCCGTGACTGGTGTTGCCTCTGATGAAACTGGGAGAGGTTCCAGTCGTGACTGGGTGACCAGGGGGTGAGGACGAGTGTTGGCTGTGACAAACTCCTGGGGTGACAGATGTGTGGAAGGAATTATCCTGTCCAGAGAACATTCTGAATCCCAGAGGACCTCCTGCTCTGTGTTCTAATTTGTTTTTAATCCGTCTCTCTCTGCCTGGCCCTTGCCAACATCATGGCCAATTATTTCTGTCCCCTATACGTGTCAGCGCACCCTCCTCCCAGGTGTTCCGATGGGCTTCTGAGGTTTCCAGCCTCACCTGGCACCCCGGGGCCAGGGCAGCTAGAGGTCACTGCCGTGAAGCTGTCCTATTTTTCAGAAACAGAAATAGAAACCCAAAGATCATGTGTCGTGTGCGCAGCCTCCTGGTGACCGCACACAGAATCAGCCGCGCTCCTCTCACCAGATCTAGGTCTTCGTATTAAAGTGGCAGGTGGCAGTCCCTGTCTCCTCGTCTAAGGGCAGGGTCAGCTCGCCTTCGGATAGCATCCCAGGATGCGCCGCTGCTCGTGACTCCGAGGCCCCGGGTGAGGTCCAGCTCGGGGAGACCGTGCCACGTGTGTGTGTGTCTCCTTTTGCACACCTGGAAACAGACGCATGTGACCCACTGACTGCAGTTCACAAGACTGGGGTCCACAGAGGTGGAAATCCCATTAACACACTGTACCACGAGCAGCTTCCTCTGTGTACTTGGGGTCTGCGTTAGAGAGAAATCACCAAAAGTCTCTTCATGTAGAGAGCGTGACATGTCATGCACCAAAGCTGTGTTCACGATGACGGTGCCTTCCTCACTTTGTAATTCAAGTCTTTGCACTTGTCACAGTGCCCTGCCTTCTTAGGTACGTGGGTTGGTATTTGTGCCTTCCTAGAATGACTTCTCACGGTATCTGCCCTTGATCAGGGAGGGGAGCCCCGCCTGCCGCTGTCACGGCCCTCCCTGCCTCCCCGTTGGGCTGGCCTTTCCTGCTCACCCTGACCCTGGGAGCCCAGGACAGTGGGGGCCCTGGCACTTTCCTTCAGGATACTTTTAAAATAGCTTTAGCTGGAGAAATAATCAGGTGGCAGTTAAGAATAAGTGTGTGAATTCGGTCCCCAGGGGCCCAAGGGCTGAGTCCTACCCCATCTGTCAAGCTGGCGTGTGTGTGTGTGTGTGTGTGTGTGTGTGTGTGTGTGTGTGTGGACACTTCCCAGCTTGCATTGCCACATATTTTTTGATGGCCATTTATTAGCACAGAGAAGCAGCATGGCGCTAGCAGTTCCTTGATGTTTGTCTTGGGTGGGCGGCAGGGCCTGAGAGCTGTGCTCCTGGCCAGAAACGGTTGACTTGGCCAGCGCTTCCCAGGATGGGATTGAACCCCACAGAGGCCCGGGATTCATGCTGCAGCAGGAGGCTCTGCAGCCACAGGAGGCCCAGGGGAGCAGACCTGGCCAAGGCGGGACCAGCCCCCTTGGTGACTCCCTCCCCGCTGGCTCCAGCCAGGGCTGAGGACTGGATTGGACAGTTGGAGCCTGCTGTGTCACCCCGGGGCCTGGGCTGGGCTGGTACTTCACTAACTTGTGAGGTCAGTGAACTGGCGTGTCTAACTCTGGGAGTGAAGTACACTTTGCCACCAGGCTGCCCGTGCCCCTGGAGGCTGCTGACTGGACAGTCCAGAGCGTCGCTGTGAACCCCCACACCTCAGGGAGCTGCCAGCCTCTGCATTTAAAGTCACCTGTCCTCTCCAGGTGCCAAGGCACACACGTGTAACCCCAGCTATTTGGGAGACTGAGGCAGGAAGATCTCGAGTTTGAGAACAGCCCGGGCAACATAGCCCCCGTCTCAAAATAAAAGGCCTGGGGACGTGGCCCGTGGTCGAGGGCTTCCCCAGCATGTGGGAGGCCTGGGTTCATCCCCAGCGCCACAGAACGTAAGCGTACTTGTCCTGCTGGTGTCCTGCTTTTCCATCTGCACACTTAGATCAGAAGCGGTCCCCGAGACGTCACCACTGTGGTGGTTTTTGTGGCCTCAGTAAATCCAGTCAGCACCTGAGCTCCCAGATCCCAGCAGCACTAGGTCCAGACAAGGTTCGGCTCTCTAAGGGGCTGCTTCAGGGTCTCCAGGGCCAGGGTGGTGTACGCCGGGACAGACCCGGGAGTGCCCTACGGACTCCAGCCCTGGCGTGAGGAGCAGTCGCCTTGCCTACTGGGCGTCTCCTCCTCACCAGGGGAGGCTGCCATCTTGCAGGTGGTGCTGTGTGGCCAGGTCTGAGGTCCCGGTGTCTCCTCTGAGTGTTGGACACCCAGGAGCAGGTTTCCTGGAGCAACCAGGCTGGGTGTCGGTGGCCAGCTCTACCTATAAGGGTCGAATGTGGCAGCTGGGGACCACTGGGGACTGTGATGTGTGTTTTCAGTCATTTTCCATTTGCTGTCTTCGGCGTGGGGCTCTTACCTGCCCCCTCCTAAAGTCTTGGCTCCCTTGGGCCGAGTTTGTGGACTTCACTGCAGCTGCTCCTGCAGCCCACGCACGGTCCCGTCCTCCCCTGCACGTCACTAATTCACTGGACACAGGCAGATCCATCACTGACCCTCTGACTGGTCAGCAGGAGGCCTGTGTCTCCACAGCCCTCCTGGGGAGAGGAGGACATATCTCCCCTGGTACAGTGGGCGCCTGGCCGACCCCAGAGTCCTCTCGTTCCCCTCACCAACAGAGTGCTTCTGCCTGGGGAGAACTCTGGGCAGTTACCTCATCCAGAGTGGCAGCCAGCCTGCTCCTGGCAAGGGACCAGGCCCACGCAGCTGGGCGTTAACTGAACCCACCTCTCCCTGCCCTGGCTCCACGGGTCACCACAGTGGCAAGTGGAGGTGGAGAAGGCTGAGCCTGGCTTCCGACTGTCCCCCACCGCAGGTGTTCCAGGAGCTGTGGAGGGGCCAGGGGAAGACGGCCGCGCAGATCGTGTCCGAGCAGAAGCTTGAACTGCTGCAGGATCCAGCGGCCCTGGAACAGCTGTGCCTCGCCACCATGGAGGAGCATCCTCAAGTGGTGACTGTCGTGGGGGAGGGAGGGAGAGGGTGTTCGCACGGGGCTGGAGTGGGGGCTGCCCTGCTGGCCAGCACAGGGCCAGCCAGGTCAAGGCCAGACACCTTCCCGCGGCTTCCTGCTGCAGCCCAGAGGCGGCTCCTCGTGAGGGTGGCCCCTTGCATCAGTAAGTCCCTAACTGTTTGTGTCAGCCCTTTAGCTAAGGTCAGAAGAGATGAAATGAGGTGAATGTTGGCACAACACAACCTCCCTTTCCTGTAAGGAAACTCCACCGTGGCGCTGACTGTAGGCGGAGTGTGTTTTGAAGGAGTATCAACTCTCCAAGTTCAGCCTCCAGGTTGAGCGTGGGTGACACGTGCCGCTCTCCCCCACGGCCCGTGTGCCCAGCTCTGGTTCCCAAGGAGGCCCTCTCAGGGATTAGCCAGCAGGCAGGGCTGCAGGAGGGAAGAGCTAGGGAAACACTTTGGCGTTGTGCCTTTAAGAAGTAGGAAGAAAAGCAGAAGAGAAAATTATGTGAAAATTACGGAGAACATCCTTTGACAGGAGCGTGGCTGGAAACCAAGCCATTTTGTGCAAGAGCGCAGCCCCCGCCCAGCTCGCGACAGCTAGAGAGAGCTTCCAGTGGGGGAAAAATTGCTAGCATCTCTTTCAGAATAATACCCTCCCTCCCGTCAGCTTGCCGGGGACACTAACAGCTCTGTAAAGAGCTCTTGATAAGGAAAATGAGCCTGTACCGGGTCCGCAATCTCCATCTCCCTGCCTTCTCTGCAGTGACTGATAAGGACACACTTAGTTTCAGACTCGCCCTGCGGCAAGTGTGCAGACGCGCACACTTGCTGTTGCTGGATGGACACTGCAGAGCGGGAGGTCAGAGTGGGTGGCCCTGGCACTTGGTGGCTATTTGATAGGAATTTAGCACCTCCTGCCTTCATCTCCCCCTCACCGGTCCCCAGCGTATGCCCCTCACTCAAATGCCTGGCAGGAGTTGCCACTTTTTAGATTCGTTTTTTGTTAAAGAGAATCTTGTTGGCAGGAAGTGGGGAAGGAGAGTCTCAAGTCCCAGCAACTGGCGACTGTCACTACCCTCACCCTGGACTCGGTGATCCATTGCAGACCCCATCCTTGTGTCGTTGTGGTGACCCAGAGGAGTGTCCTGGTTCCTGTGGGCCAGCTTCTCGGGCTCTTGGAGGTCATTCATGACCCATCACATACTTTTCACATGCACTGTCACCCTCACGAGGGTTCCACTCCTTCCTCATGTCATAGGGAGGGGACAGAGAAACTGTGTTTAACTTGCAGCTGACTTAAGCATTGACTCCTCTTTTCTGTCTTTAAAGGTGATGGACGTGAAGAAGGGAAACCCCAGGGCGATCAATAAACTGATCGGTTTGGTCCGGAAAGCCACCCTAAGCCGAGCAGACCCAGCCCTGATAAAGGACATCCTGGAGAAGAGGCTGTGGTTGTGAGGTGTGTTGGGGTCCCTCTGCCGGAGGAGGACAGCGTGGCCGGACAGCCTGTGAAAGCTGCGGTCCACGTGTGGTAGGAGCTGGGATCTCAGTCCCTGGCTGGGCCACGCCTTGGAGATGGCAGGCTTGGAGTCACACGCCTGGTGCCTCCGGCAGAGGCAGAGCAGTAGCCACAGCCACACCCACTGCCCACAGGCCCCAGCAGGGCGAGGGGGCTGCAGCCTCGAGTGGCAATAACACGCTCTGCTGGGCGGGGAGTGGAGCAGAATAAAAGGCGTGCTGCTGTGCCAGGCCCTCCTCCCCGAACCTCACCTCGCTGTCCCTCAACAGCTGTCCTGGAGCCCAGCATTGCAGAAGCCGGGGATTAACAGTGTCCAAGAGAGACTGCAATTTGGATGTGGTGTATGTAGACCTAAAAACAGGTTAATGAAGACGAAAACAACAAACAAATCAGTGCCGTGAAATACATTTGATTAGAGAAGTCGCGAGACAGGAGGAAGGACATAGCAATTCCATGTTCACTGAGCAAAGTGACGTTGCACATTCACCTCTCTGGGGATCCCCATGGCAAAGGTCTGAGAATCAAATAATGGGGGAAAAAAAACCAGAAGTTTTCAAATAAATTTAATGAATAAAATATATATTGAAATATCAGATAAAAATTAACTTACACTTCAAAGATGTGTAGTTGACAACCGTCCCCCAACCTCTGACCAAAAAAGAGAAAAGCTGTAACATTGATTTGTTTTGCTTGGAAAGAATAAGATTATAAACTAATAAATCAAAATCTTGACCTTGAACAGTAATTGAGGTGTAGCTGATAGTCCAGTGACGAAGGCTGCACCCCCTCCCCCGCCCCATTGCTTGAGATGGGAAGGCTGTTCTGTTGCCTGGATGCCCCTGGTTCCTTACAGGCCTGGTAGCTTGGATCCCTGCTTCCTAAAAGACCAGTCTTGCAAATGCTGTTTGGAAAGTACTTGAATGTGACATGAGCACAGGGACAAAACCTTTGGAGGCCCTGATTTTAAAATGAACTCCCTGTCCTACTAAGAACCAAAAGTTACTGGGGGAATGTCACTCCAGGGGCTGCTGGGGAAGGGCAGAAAGGTTAGACACCCCACCCCCCCACCCCCCCACCCCCAGGCGCATCGCCACCTGAGCCACGACAGTTCCTGGCCTGTGGACAGGGCTTGGGACTGACGGAGCAGTGAGCAATGCCCTGCCCAGCCAGAAAGGCAAAGAGAGGACACCAGTTGTGTGCTTTTAGACAAGTGAAAAGGAGGTAACATTTTTTAAAATATATATATATTTTTAAGAAATTAGTGACTTAGAACAATAAGAATATGAACCTCGCCCAGGTAGCCATCAACCCACACTGTTGCAATACTGAAGTGATTCTCACCAATCTCACTCTGCAGGTCCCCAATTCCATCATTTCATGGCTGCTTTGAGGTCTTCATCCAGCAAGACCTTTATTTTATAAGAACTAGTGATGCTCATTTTATTTCATAAGCTGCATTTTTACCAAAAAGTTCTGACTTCTTGGTGACCAAACCTTACAGAAAGCACTGAAGGATCTTTTCAGACCATTTCAAATCATGGACTTATTTAAACAGGGGCACTGCCAAGTCAGGACACCAAAACTATGACATCAAGGGAAAACCGCCTGTGGACGGGTGACTCCAGGGGAAAGGGGCCACAGTTAGGACGTGGGACTTCACAAGGCCAATTTCCGCCCAGCTCTGATAATGGACTGTCAGCTTTTGAAAACCAGACTTGGTTGACATCAGCGGGTGGGGGTGAGGGTGGGGGTGGAATCAAAGCACAGCTCTGACTGGAACCCAAGCTACTGGAAAGGTGTTTACATAACACCCTAAGAAACACACGAAGTGCGGCTCTGCTCCTACTCGGGCCTCAGTGAGATGCAATTTTACATTCTTGCCTGAGTGTGAATTTAGACTGGTTCTGTTTGTACCATTTAGGGGAAATCTCATTAAAATGTATGAGCTGGCATGGTAGCTGAAGCCATTGCCATCTGTCACTGGAATCCACACACCTGTAGGTGGGGTGTCTAATGCTGAGGCTCTGGGAGGAGAATGTGTTGGAAAACTGGCTCTCCCTAGGGACAGCCTGAACCAGGTCTGCCTGGTCAGGCCCCAACGTGTTCTGATGCCTCCTGGCGCTGGCTGGTTGGTCCTGGTGGGAAGGGGCATGTTAGCCCGGCACTCAGCACTCGACCTAGCACAGGGAGTGTTCAGTAAAAGTTCACCTAACTTGGGAAACTTTGTCAGGCCCCTTTGTAAAAGAGGCCACCAACGCCTAGGATTTTCAATTCTGGGTCTAGAAGGCAGCTTTTTGTATCTATCTGAGCTCACGCGTCCAAACTGACTTCTGTTTCTCTCAAGGGTGTAAATGGAAAAAATTGAGATCGTTACACCTAGGTAAGGACGTTTTAGCCGAACCCCCTCCATCCACTTTTTTTTTTCTTTTAAGTAGTTATTGCCAATCTGGAAGAAAGCCATGAAATTTCTGAGAGTGAATACCTTCCTCTTCAGCAGCAGGTTAGTTAATACATACCATGGCCATGACCCACAACTTATGTCTATTTTTCATTTAGACTGAATTCAGCAGCATCATTTCAAGGACTCCACACAGTGGCTACCAGGGAGAAAAAATGCCCACTGTATGTGGAAGGCATCTCATCTCCCCGTTACCAACGGCAGCACGGGGGTGGCTGCTGGGCTGCTCCTGCAGGTTTTAGGGAATGTATTTGTGGATTGTCAGCAGAGCTGACCCTGGATTGGGAGGGTCAGTGGGTTGGGAGGCATCTGAATGAAACTGTCTTCCTTAGTCGGATGGCTGGGCAAAATTTTAAGGAAGACCACTGACACCATAGTCCCTCCTTCAAAACATCTGCAGGACAAGAGTCCTGTTACAGGAGGGCCTTACTTATTCCAATAAAATGTCAGGTGCATAGACTCACACAACCTCTGCTCCATGAAATTTATAATCTGGCCTAAGAGCTTCCATCACCTCTGTCAGGTTCTGAAGTGATACAGTAAATCTGAGCTCCCCCAAAGATGCCTAAAATGCATATTGAACTCATCTGACGGAATCCTGGTGCTGGTCTTGTGACTGGTGTGGGTGACGGTTAGGTTTACCACATCTCATAAGGCAAGAACGCAACTCACAGCGACCCCTAGGCTAGGAAAGGTCGGCCTGTCTAAAGTCATCAGTCGGAGGGTTCTGAGAGCAAAGGCTAAAGATCTGAAGGCTTCCCCCCACCTTGTCGTGGTTCTTCTTTTCCCTAAGGAACCTCTCTGAAAATCTCATGCTAAAGCCCTGTTTATCCAGTTAATGAGCTGCCAGGATAATCTGTGCTCCAAAACAAGTAGTGACCTAATAAATGTCTGAACGCAGAGAGGATTTACTGAAGCAAAATTATCTCAAAAACCATTCTTTGTCTTACAAGAGCTTTTTCTGAAGCATTAGGTTTATGATGGTCATTCAAAAAGAATAATAATAATAAAGAATGTCAACTCCATTCTCTTAAAATGTCCCTCACTGATTTGACTTAAGGGTGAAGCCTAAACTGGTTGGACATACTGTTTAAGCTGTTATTTGATGGGGAATTAGCACGTGTGATTTACAGGCTGAAGGCTGAAGCAAGAGACCAGGGTGGCTTCTTAATGACTCAAAGCTGATGTGACTTAAGGTACCAGAGGACCACTGCTTCAGGGAAAGATAGGACCTCAGAGCTGGCTGAGGTTCACAGCAACCCATATGTCACACTGGCCTGGGCCAGTGACTCTAAGTAGCACGTGCAGTAATAGCTGTCCTGCAATAAAGTGTTTCATAAAAATGGCAGGCGTGACAGCCACTGCAGTAAACAGAGGGCTGGTAATTAGCAGTCAAATTGAACTGCCCCTAGAAGAGAACCGGAGCATAGACAGATTTAACAGCACACGGTGAGGGGTCCTACCCCTCCTGGGGCAGTGCTTCCCCACTGAAAGCAACAGACAGACTGACCCAGAATGGGCAGTCCATGCACAGCCTTAAGCTTCCAACAGATCAGGAAATATCCCGCATGACCACTGCAGCCACAGGGATTCAGACATCAACGACAGCTTCCAACCACTGGCTGCCCAAATTACATGGGAAACCCAAGCAGCCACGTATCTTGTTTCTAGATTGTCTTCACAAGAGGACGCTTTCCCGACACCCTAGCCCAGATGCCTTAAAGAAAATCCACTACATCTGACCTACACAGAAGCCACCTCTGAGGCCTGTGAAAGTACACAATGTGTCCTCCTAACAGTGACACAATTCCAGCCTCAGCCAGTTAAGGTATCTTCCAACACAATGATGAACAAAATGGGTCTAATTTCACCATGCCTCTAAGTGCTGGGGAAGGACGTATATAGTGACACAGAAAGTCACAGCTCTAGTGAACTCCAGCACCTCCACTTCATGGCCGGAAACTCTAACTGACCCCCATGAAGCTGGGTTTTAGCCTAAACATAAGCTGGAATTTGTTTAAAATTTTACATTTACCTGGTCATGTTCAAAAATCAATTTTAAATATCCCAGTGGTCTCACATAATTTGAATCATAAACTCACTCGGTTGAGAACTTTAAATCAGACCCTGAATTATGAATTAAGGCTAATGTCGTGCTGTTCCAGGAATCCCTGACTTGCCGTCCCTGCCCAGGCATCGGGCTAGACACAGTGACGCCAGGCCAGGCTGCTCCAAAGGGCTGTGCCCACTTTTTCTCCAACAAGCAGTGATGTGGGGCTTGTCGCAGGAAAGGACCCATGCCCCTGGGCCACATTTTAAAATCTATCTAAAATTTCCCAAAACTCATTACCAAAGAGAAATAGTATTTTAAGGACCTCACCTGTTTAATTAATTTAGAACTGAAACATTCTACTCCACTGCTTTGATTTTTTCCTACCAAGAAGCTCCTCCCCTCACCTGCCTGCTCTCTGTTGTCTTCCTAGAACAAGGTTCACATCTCAACATCTTTCAGGACTTGCTCTTTGTTCGTGGCTCAGGCCTCTGTCGTTTTTCTTCCCACCAGTCTACACCATTCCCCGAATAGCCTATTCCTGGCTATGCCCCTCAGCCACATGGGTTCTCTGATGCTCTATGTCCCAGTCAGTTTTTTACTTAATTTTATAAAACCCTGAACACAACCATCTGAAGAACTGTAGCAGATTCACATCCCAGTTTCCAACTGCAAACAGGGAAGGAAGGAGGCATCTCATCATGTAAGTTTGTTTCCATGAGAAGTTTAATTTTCCTGCCCCTCACCCTAGGCTCCAGTCATCTCTGTCCTCCTTTAAAGTAAGTCTGTACATACTGGAAAAATTTTGAAAAGGCACAAAGTCAGTCACTCTCTTTCCCAGTGGGCACCTTCCACAGAGGTGGCTGTGGCATTCTATAATGAAATACAGACTTAAGAGTCAATGCCACCAGCAGAGAGGAGTACCAAACCCAAAAGCCAAGAATACCATTTCCAGATGTAGCTCCAGCAGTATGTGACCTGCAGAGTCCAATAATCGGATAAATACGCACGCAAAACAAAGTTCAAGGGTAATAAGTTACAGCTTAAATTCCATCTTTAACTGGTCCTCCTTCTCCACCTTCATTCCTGATGAAGACTTTTGGGCTGTACAAAACACAACTTGGCGTCAGGAGCCAGAGAACCATCGTTCAAAGCAACAAACGTGAAGTCAGGATGTGCCCTGAACAGCTAACTTTGTGTTTTGCTTAGACTATGAAACACTCCCAGCCAGGAGCCT